TTTTGGTTTAACTTTTTTTTTTTTTTTTAGTAATACTCTGAATGTACTTCTGTATTTACTCCCATCCTACTCCCTTCCTTAGTGAATATTTTGCTAAGTAGTTGAGAAGGAAAAAGGAGAAAATCCTTATTATAGAAAAAAAAAAGAAGAACCAGACCAGCTCTGTCATTTAATGCCAAAAAAGGAGGCCTTAGAAGAACAGCTATAAGGGTGAGAACTTCATTACATGAAGCATGCTCACTATTTACATCTTTCTCGGATTTTACTTCTCAGAAATAATTCTGTTTGGGGTTTTAATTCTGTGAGTAAAATACTTTTAAAATCTAGATGTAAGTCTGGTTAAAAAAAAAGAAAAAAAGCCGGGCGCGGTGGCTCAAGCCTGTAATCCCAGCACTTTTGGGAGGCCGAGGCGGGTGGATCACGAGGTCAAGAGATCGAGACCATCCTGGTCAACATGGTGAAACCCCGTCTCTACTAAAACTACAAAACATTAGCTGGGCATGGTGGTGCGTGCCTGTAGTCCCAGCTAATCAGAAGGCTGAGGCAGGAGAATTGCCTGAACCCAGGAGGCGGAGGTTGCGGTGAGCCGAGATCGCGCCATTGTACTCCAGCATGGGTAACAAGAGCGAAACTCCGTCTCAAAAAAAAAAAAAAAAAAAAAAAAAGAAAAAAGAAATTAACCAGCATTACTCACATTTTAAAATGTCACTTTCAGTCTTTTTTGATGATTTATACTATGAGCTCAACAGACTGCCATAACACATTTCACATAATTTGACCTCAGAGAACATAATGTTATATAAATGCTTAAACAATGCCACTGTTGAACGATTGTTACAGTTAGGCTCCTGGGAACTGTGATCATTATAGAGATGGCTCAGCTACATTTCAGAAATTGCCTTTACTGCAAACAGCTTAATTTTTTTAAATGTAGAAGTATTCATATGACCAAAGCTTCAGGGTGTAGATTTTCTTACTGATCCCAATATTTCAAAGACATAATGATGCTCTATGATACAGAAGACCTCAAATTTAGATAGAAAGCAGCTCTAAGAGTCAGACATCCTTTTTTTCTGGAGATAGGAATATGAGACTATTTTGTCTTGCCAAATAGCACAAACATTAGTTTTTCAATTTTCATTTATCAGTCATGATATGTACAAGAAAAACAGAAACACAAGAAACAAATTCCTTTAAATTACATTAAAAACAAAGATGAACAAAACAACACAAAATCATCAGGAAAAATCAAGAGTAACAGTAAATATCAGTACTTACACATCAGAGTAGGCTGTTAGCATAATAAAGCTAACATATAGTCACAGAAAGACAACAGTATCAACGATCAAGATACTATTTTGCTTCAGTACCTCCTCATTTTGGCCTGGGAGTTCATCAAGCCCTAAGTGGCTGGATTCTGTTTTTCTCCCTCCCTCCCTCATGCTTCCATCCTTTTCACACTGGGGTACCACTGTAGGAGGCTCCTGGATGTAGCTAACCGTGCGGCAGCACCTAAGGCAGCAGTGGCTGTACTTCGAGGAATGTAGAGCTTCTGGGAAATCTGGCACTCATGAGACAAAATCAATGACAGCTGGTCCATGGATTCTTGACTCTTGTCTTTGTACACTGTAATAGCACGGCTGCTAGAAAAGTCTTCATTCTTTAGGATGTCTGGAGAGCTTTCCACTGGAAAAGAAAGAGTACAGCAATGTCTTTTCAAGGGGTTCTCATACTCACTGCCTTCTCTCTCCCATCCTAGTTAAATGCTAGTACATGTAACAATCACGTTCTGTTAGGTAGTGACAATTACCAATGGCTAATCAGAGAAGATGAGACTCAGAAACCAGTCAACAAATGGAAAGGAAATGGGGAATCATGCATTGAGATAAAATAAATCTTGTCAGGATGAAGTGAGAGAGGGAAAATATACTTATGAACAAGGATGGGATGATTTATGTCTAGGAAGGTCATAAAAATAAATTGGATATAACAGAAATCCCAGAGAAGAGCCCATAGTGCTTCTCCTTCCTTCCAGCACTAAGCTAAGTGGGATCCCACAGTCTTTCTCTCTATTGCCAAAGTTGTTCCAATTCCAAGTCTGCGCCTGTATAAAAATAAAACCATCCTGGATTGTGGTTGCTAAGATGTCCTCCGAACCAGTTACCAGCCATAAAATGAATGTCAAAATAATTAGTTTTAATTAAGAAGAAATAACCCTTTAAATAAAATTAATGGCTAGAACTCTGATGCTGAAGATTTCCTAACAGCCAAGGGAGGAGATGCTAAGCACTCGGAGATGTGTACTAGTAGCTGGTCTATAAACCGCTTATTACCTGCCTACAGTGAAAGAAGCCGCTTTTTCTGGCATCTAAACCAACACACATTGCCTCCTTCAAGAAAGTCCCACTTAAAAAAAAAATTCAGGTGAGCTACGCAATGTGTTCAGCAATGTAGCTGATTGAATACTCTGGAACAAACTCCTTATAGCATGGTCCACCCCTGCAAACCCTTCAAATTGGCACCAGTATGTAGACCACATTTTGAATAGCACTGTTCTAGATCTTAAAAAACACAGATTTCAAAAATTCAAACAAAGAGGCATAATCCATTAGTTTATTAATCTTTGCATCTTTAGCATCTAGCAGAGTAACACGTGGTATATGTTCTATACTTTTGTAATGAATTATGTTCGAGAAAGATTTGACAATGTATTCCAAAAAGGGAAACTGTGTAAAACTATAGTGTCTACTAGAGAGGAAAAGGAATGATTATTTTTAATTAAATAATGTGATTTTACAGGAAGTCTTAGGTGAGCTTGCATATTAAAAGGTATGAAAAGCAGGAACACATGACCAAAGAATTTAAGAGTAGCAAAATTTCTGCTTTCAGTCATAGTGTTATTCAACAAGAATATCTACTCTCTTGCTATACAACTAGAAAACTGGACAAAATGTATGAAACAAGAGCTTTCAGATGTTGAACGAGCATCCCAGAACAGTGACCCCTGAGAGAAGGCAAACTATTATTAGTGCTATAGCTCACTGCCTAAAAAGACTTTTCAGGCTGTAGTATGAGGAGGAGGAATCCAGACTGAACCAGGTAGTCTAAGAAAACAGAGTTCAGAATTCAGAAAGGCCAGGTGTCTAGAATTTATGGAAATAAAGTACCAGAGAGGAGGCAGCTGCAGAGAGAGAAGAAACTGAGAATGTGCTAAGAGGTCTCCTTGAGTCTTGGACTGAATAGTCCTCTGACTCCTGTGTGTGTGAGCAAACTACCACAGCCAGGGAAAAACTACCAGAAAGGAGCAGGCAGAATAATCATGAGATCTTACATTAGGGCACAACGGTTTGTGTTCTCGCCAGCCACAGTGGAAAGACATCCTAACACATGCAACATCAAGTCCATCAATAATCTCAGAGGGTATTAGGTATTGCCTAAATACCAGGGCCAAAACCAGACCTAGACCACAAACTTTTCCAGACCAGACTAATAAATCCAAAAGAAACACTGAAAAAAAAAAATTGGGGGAAGGGGAATTCAGCTGCATCTCCCCATCCCAAAAAAGACAGATGGGAAGAAACGCAGAAAGGGAAGAAATTAACCCAACACACATATACACCATAGAATATTATGCAGCCATAAAAAAGAATGAGTTCATGTCCTTTGCAGGGACATGGATGAAGCTAGAAACCATTATTCTCAGCAAACTAAAAAGGAACAGAAAACCAAACACCGCATATTCTCACTTATAAGGGGAGATGAACACTGAGAACCTATGGGCACAGGGAGGGGAACATCACACACTGTGGCCTGTCGGGGGGTGGGGAGGAAGGAGAGGGATAGGAGGGAAGTGGGTGGCTAGGGGAAGGATAGCATTAGGAGAAATACCTACTGTAGATGACAGCTTGATGGATGCAGCAAACCACCGTGGCATATGTATACCTATGTAACAAATCTGCATGTCCTGCACATGTATCCCAGAACTTAAGTATAGTTAAAAAAAAAAAAGAAATTAAGCCAATAATGTAAAATTCACAGTGTCTGGCATTCAATAAAAAATTACCAGATACAAAGAATGTATATGCCCTGTAATCAGGAGAAAAAAAATCAATATAAACAGATTCAAAAATGACACAATGATAGAATTCAAAAGTTATATATATGACAGAATCACATGACAAGGTTATTAAAACAGTTGTTTAAAAAGCACTCTATTCAAGAAGACAGAAAGGAAAACATGACTATAATGTGGAGAAAAATGTAAGATATAAATAAGACCCAAATCAAACCTCTAGAGAAGAAAAACACACTGGGCCAGTTGCTGTGGCTCATGCCTGTAATACCAGCACATTGGGAAGCAGAGGCGGGAGGATCACCTGAGGTCGAGTTCGAGACCAGCCTGGCCAACATGATGAAACCCAGTCTCTACCAAAAATTTAAAAAATTAGGGGGACGTAGTGGCACATGCCTGTCATCTCAGGTACTCAGGAGGCCAAAGTGGGAGAATTGTGTGAACCTGGAAGGCGGAGGTTGCGGTGAGCCGAGATTGTGCCACTGTACTCCAGCCCGGGCGACAGAGTGGGATGAATGGACAGAAAGCAAGCAGGCAGGCAGGAAGGACGGACGGACACACTGAATTAGAAACTCGGACACACTGAATTAGAAACTGAACAAGATGGCTGGTAGCTTGGAGACATAGTAGTAGAAATGAACTAAAATCAGACACAGCAAAGACTGAGAGTTAAGAAACGGCCTACCACACATGTAACTGCAGTTAAAAAACTGGGAAGGGTAACAGAAAAAAAATTAATTTTTTTTTGGCCCTGTGGACCAAATCCATCTAATTTTATAAATAAATTTTAATTAGAACACAGCCATTCTTATTTATTTACCTATTATCTATGGCTGTTTTCATGCCGTAACAGCAGAGTTGAATAACTGCCATAGATCATAGGGCCTACAAAGCTGAAAATATTTTTGTTTTTTTTGGCTCTTTACAGAAAAAGTTTGCTGAATCCCAATTTATACATTGGAATGAAGAACACTGGAATGGAAAATATGTGAGTAAACATAAAAGACTTCTCATTTTTAATTTCTTTAAAAGATAACTGGCTAGAAAGCAAAAATAATAAGAATTGGATTGTGGGGTTTACAACATATTAAAAAAGTAAAATATATAACAACAATAGCTAAAAGGCAGGCCTGGGAAAAAGGGAAACTTTTAATGTTATATGTGAAGTGATATAGTATTATTTGGAGGAGACAATTTAAAGATATATACTACAAACCCTAAAGCAACCACTAAAGAAAAAAATGACCTAGCCTTCTGTACAGCAAAAGAAATAATTAGCAGAGTTAACAAGACAACCCACAGAGGTCAAAAGTTCGAGACCAGCCTGACCAACGTCGTGAAACCCTGTGTGGTGCGTGCCTGTAATCCCAGCGACTCAGGAGGCTGAGGCAGGAGAATTGCCTGAACCCAGGTGGTGGAGGTTGCGGTGAGCCGAGATCGCGCCATTGCACTCCAGCTTGGGTAACATGAGTGAAACTCCGTCTCAAAAAAAAAAAAAAAAAAAATTAGCCAGGCATCATGGTGTGCACCTGTAATCTCAGCTACTCGGGAGGCTGAGGCAGGAGAATTGCTTGAACTCAGAAGGTGGAGGCTGCATGCAGTGAGCTAAGATCGAGCCACTGCACTCCAGCATGGATGACAGAGCAAGACTCCATCTCAAAAAAAAAAAAAAAAAAAAAAAGATATAAAAATGGTCAACAAGTATATGGAAAAATGCTCAATATCGCTAATTATCAGGGAAATGGAAATTAAAACCACAATGTGATACCACCTCACTTCTGCAAGAATGGCCATAATCAAAAAAATAATAGATGATGGTGTGGATGTGGTAGAAAGGGAAGATGTTTATGCTACTGGTGAGAATGTAAACTATTATAACCACTATGGAAAACAGTGTGGAGAGTCCTTAAAGAAGGAAGATTTACCATTTGATCCAGCAATCCCATTAATAGGTATCTACCTAGAGGAAAAGTCATTACATGAAAAAGATACTTGCATACATGTGTTTATAGCACAATTTGTAATTGTAAAAACATTGAACCAGCTCAGATGCCCATCAATCAATGAGTGGATACAGAAAATGTGGGGTGTGTGTGTGTGTGTGTGTGTGTATACACACAACACATATATATACACATATATATACATACATACATGTACACATGTGTATATATACATGTGTATACATATACATGTATATATGTGTATACATACATATACGCATATACATATATGTATATACATGTATATGTATACACGTATATGTATACATATATACATATACATGTATATATATATACACATATATACATATATACATATACATGTATATATACACACATATATATGTGTATACACACACACACCATGAAATACTACTCAGCCATAAAAAGGTATGAAATAATGGCATACACAGCAACCTGGATGAATGGAGACTATTATTCTAAGTGAAGTAATTCAGGAATGGAAAACCAAACATCCTATGTTCTCAGTCACATGTGGGAGCTAAGCTATGAGGATGCCAAGGCAATTAAAAATGATACATTAGACTTTGGGGACTCGGGGTAAAGGGTGGAAAGTGAGGGCTAAAAGACTACACACTGGGTACAATGTACACTGCTCAGGTGATGGACACACCAGAATCTCAGAAATCACCACTAAAGAACTTATTCAAGTAACCAAACACCACCTGTTACCCAAAAACCTATTGAAGTAAAAAAATTATAAAAATTTTTTTAATCATGTAATTTATTCTAAGGGTTTTTACAAAACGGTTAATGAAAATTATACATACATAAGAAGTACAGTATAACTGAACAACTTACGTTCCAATTCTTTGTTGCAAAACAAAAAATATAGTATGTGTATAGACTTAATATTGTTAAGATGAGAATTCTCCTCAAACTGATCTATAGACTTAAATTTAAAAATCAGATCAAAATCTTAACAGACTTTATGTAGACATTGACAAGCTAATTCTAAAATTTATGTGAAAATCAAAGGACGTATAATAGCAAAAACAACTTGAGAAAAAGAAAGTTGGAAGACTAACATTATGTGATTTCAAGACTTATTATAAAGCTATGGTAATTAAGACAGTAGTATAAAGACAGACATATAGACCAAGAGGACAAAATGGAAATTTTTGAAACAAATACGGCCTATTGACTTTTGGCAAACGTGTCAAGGCAATTTACTGGAGATAGTCTTTTCAACAAATGGTGCTGGGACAACTGGATATTCAGATGCAAACAAAATAAATATTGATCCTCAATCATATCCTATACAAATATGAACCTGAATTGGATCTGAGACTTAAAAGTATAAAAATTTTATAAGAAAATGTAGGAGAAAATCTTAGTTATTTGAGTTAAAGATTTCTAAACAAGATACACATGGCTCAAATTGTAAAGAGAAAAAAATCGCTAAACAGGACTTGAAAACTTTTGCTCTTCCAAAGACACTAAAAGGCAAACCACAGACTGAAGGAAATATTTATACCTGACAAAGAATGTGTGTACAGAATAAATAGCTTCTACAAGTAGGTAAGAAGATAACCCAATTTAAAAAGCGAGTAAGTACTTGAACAGGCAAACACACAAAAAATACGGTGAACATTGTAATAAACAGGAAAATGCAAATTGAAACTACAATAAGATGCCACTACATATCAATAACCTGGCAAAATTAAAGATTGACAATACCATCTGTTGGCAAGGCTGTGGAGTGCTTGGAACTTTTATTCCTTAGTGGTGGGATTGCAAACTGATGCAGTCACTTTAGGAAACATTTAGGCAGGTTTTTAAAAAGTTAAACATGCAGTTGCCATACGATCTAGCAAATTCACTCCTCTGTGTGTGTGTGTGTGTGTGTAATTTTTTTTTTTTTTTAGACAGAGTCTCACTCTGTTGCCCAGGCCAGAGTGCAGTGGCATCATCTCAGCTCACTGCAACATCTGCTGCCCAAGTTCAAGTGATTCTCCTGCCTCAGCCTCCCAAATAGCTGGGATTACAGGCTCCTGCCACCATGCCCAGCTAATTTTTGTATTTTTAGTAGAGGCAGGGCTTCACCCTCTTGGCCAGGCTGGTCTTGAACTCCTGACCTCATGATCCACCTGCCTCGGCCTCCCAAAGTGCTGGGATTATGGGCGTGAGCCACTGCGCCCAGTCTCCTATGTATATATTCAATAGAAATAAAAACATACATCTACAAAAAGAGCTGTGTGTAAACGTTCATAGCAACTTTATTGATAACGGACCACCTATGTTGTTTCCAGAATTTGACCATTAACTGGTAAACAGGTAAATTGTGGTATATCCATGTAACTGAATACTATTCAGCAAATAGGAACAAATTTTTGATACTGGCACAACATAAACAAAACTCTAAAATATTATGGTAAGTGAAAGAAGCCAGACATAAAAACTACATATGATTCCATTTATACGAAATTCTAGAAAAGGGAAAGTAACATGCTAGAGGCCAGCAAGGAGGCAACGGGACTGACTGCAAAGGGGCGGGCACGAGGAAACTTTCAGGCTGATGGAAACGTTACCACAATTGTGGCTGTGATTACAAGACTATACATTTGTCAAAACTCAAAGAACTATATACTTGAAAACCAGCAAATTTTACTCTATATAAGTGGGACCCCCTCCAAAAAAAAAGTGCAGAAAAAAAGAAGAGTGGTAAAGTTCAAGGAGCAATTGAGCCCAAACATAAAACAAGGACTAAACACAAATGCTAAGGTCCGTAATCTTTCAAGGTATATTTTGAAAGAGATAAATGAAGGTTTTTAGAACATGGCAAACCATCATGTTTGTCAACTGAGAGCATGCACAAGTACACACAAACCTACCAAAACCAGAGGGCTGTTCTGCAGAATCATCCACTCCAGGAGTTGAACTGGATGCTGCTGTGGAAGGCTGAGTTTGCTTTGGCTGAGTCTGACTGTTGCTGAGTTCAGACTGGCTCCCGTATGCTGACTGCTCTGACTGGGTAAGAGAGGTATAGCATTCTTCCAATTTGGGCAGTGTGGAAGAATCTGAAGAACCATTTAAGTCTAGTTGCTGCAGAATGGAAACAAAAGGGGCAAAAGCATGAAAAACAAATGTTAGTATAATAAGAATTAGGCCCTACTTCCTTACTTAAAAGCAAAATACAAGTATTTCTGTATTATAAAATGAAACTACTCACTATCAAGAACCTATATACTCTCTAGAAAAAGCAAGTCCTTCTCTGTCTTAATGAACATAAATTCAAGAAAACATTTACGGAACACATCCCATAAGCAAACATGGCATACAATGCTACCATACAAAGGCTGGGAAAGAGGGGCAGAGCACAAGAGAAGTGATGCTCACCGAGCACTCTGTGTCAGGCACAGTGCTAGGTTATCTGCATGTGTTTCTTCATTTGAACATCAGAACAAGTGTCCTAGGTAGGTGCTGCTATGTCTTCTTCACTTAGCATAATGCTTTTACAGAGTGGTTAAGTTATCCAATGTCCATCAGTAAATGGCAGGGTGTAGATTTGAACTCAGGCCGGTCTGTGCTCTCTGTGCTCTACCACACCACCTCCCAGTCAGACAGGATCCCTGACCCTAAGGGCCCCTGAGTCCTCCATCAGGGAAACTGTGTGTGTGTGTAGCTAGCCATGAAAGGAGGCAAGAGCTGCGTGCTCTTTGGAAGGGCCAAAAAAGCCAGAGTTTGGGAGAAAAAGATGAACTTCCAAACTCAGATTGAACTTAAGTAAATGGAGTGCCAAATTTTAACCATTATGAATTAGACCCCATTTCCTGCCATATACTCATTGCTGAAGTAAGTGTACTCTATGGCCATTTAACAGCACTGATCTTTGATGATGTCAACTGGCACTGACACGAGTAAAGAGGACCCCATCAGACTAAGCTATGACAAACTGAACTAAGTGGTTTAGAGTCTGGGATCTGCCTAGAACAAACTGAAACAATAATTGTACAAACAGATG